ATGTAAAAGAATCTGTAAAGGTATTTGAAGACAATGCTGCCTGTATAAAAATGGCAACTGGTGACAGGGTGAAGAACAGAAGTAAACATGTAGACATTAAGTATTGTAATGTCAGGGAAGCTGTAAAAGGAAAATTGATTAGTTTACATCATTGTTCTTCTGAGGATAATTTGGCAGACATGATGACTAAACCATTGGGCGGTGTTCACTATGGAAAATGTATTGAGTCAATAGGTCTGATGTCTCTTCCTGTCATGAAGGGAGGAGTGTTGGAATATTCATGAGCAGGAAGAGTTATGTGGTAACTCAGTCAGCCAATGTGAGAAAAATGCTACTGAGTCTGTGCAAAAAGGTATTGAGTTAGGAGCTGGATTTTTTCTCAGTCTCGGGTTTGTCTCTGTATCTCTCTATAAAAAGTCTTCATTGTGCTATGTTGCTGTAAAGAAGAATGTATGGTATTGTAAATATTTTGATATGAATATAAAGAAGTTATTTGAATCAGCTAAATGCAGTCAACTGTGAGAGCTTCTGATTTATTTTTCACCAATAGAGAAATTAAAATTCTCTAACATAAACAGTTTTGCACATTCTTTATCACCATCACTCAGAGGTCTCAGGGAGTAATCATGTCCGAAGAGTCCAATGATTAAGCATACACAAAATGCTAAATACTGGGGGTAGAGATACAGGAGAAATTCTAGAAAAGAACATGGGTAGAATCCTAATTGGGAGGACTAGATATTTCAACGTTTTATGAATATCCAATTCAGGTATTTTCTAGAGATCTTTAGATTTTCTAGAGATCTTTCTGTCTGATGACATTTTAACATCCATTTCTCAGAACCATGTTATAAGGAAGAATACCATCCCAATTCTGCAAATAAACAGAATAGGAAGAAAAGCATGAGAAACACATGAAGAGTCAACTGTGCTACTGTGCATTTTTGATCAGTGTAAAATGTAGAGTATGGATCAAGGATCATTAGCAAGCCTGCAATCTAATAGATTTCATTACCTCCATGATCCATACACATTACAGTTCCATGAGTAGAAGAGCAGAACAATCACAACCCTGGAGCATTAAATATTTTTACATTGAGAATAATAGTAACTTCAAGCTGTGCAAATGTTAGGAGTCAGATTTATGTTTCATCGTATATATTTAGTATCAAATTCCATTTTTTTTAAAAAATGGGATCTATAGCTTACCCAAACCTTAATAGTCTCAAAGTAAATATATTTTACTTACCAATAGAATACATCTCTAATTGCTGCCGAAGACGGACTTTTTTCATGCTGTCATAAAAATTTGGTTCAGATATTTCTACAGTTGGAGGTAATGTAAAAATCCTCATAATCTTCCTCTTATTTCTGAAGCCCAAAAGTAATAAAACAACATAAGTAATACAAAAGCAGATGTTTCCCTTAATGGTAAATGAAATTAGCAACCTGTCTTAATTTCTACAGCAAAGGAATAGAAATACAATTGGAATTTCAATTAGAAGTGGCAATGATTATCTCCAATTTTCTGAAAAAGCAAATGTTACCATCACTGAAAGAAATTAGGCTATGAATGTTTAAATGTCACATAATAGAAAGGCTTCCTGTTCACTGCATTCTAATATCATATTTCATGCAAAGGCCTCTAACAGACATTTATGTCCTGTGAAGAGCCTGTGTGTTCACCTAAATCCCTGATCTCCCTTCCTTCCGCCGCGCCCTCAAGACATGGTTGTTCCAGCTTGCGGGACTGGCCTAAGGGATTTTAAAGGGGTTTTAATTACTTTTAATTAGATCACAGTTAAATATTTCGTTTTAATTAATTTTAACAGGGGTTTTGTATTTTTTGTATTTTAATTGACTGTTAGCCGCCCTGAGTCCGAAAGGAGAAGGGCGGGATATAAATGTAATTAAATAAATAAATAAATAAATAAATAAATGTGAAATGCATAGGCTTAGTATTTAGATGTTATACTTAGCATGGACATGAAAGCCAGTGTAAATTAGCTGTATCAGCTTGTACAGATCAGTCCTGCAAAGTTTTTTAATTACAGCAAGGAAATGTCTACTTCTTTAGCTGATATTCAAATAGCTAGTACCTGAGAATTTTCAAAAAAGGTAATATACAGTAAGTGTTTCAGAAACAGAGTTTGTAAATTAAGAACTATCCAGTGCAAATTTCACATGTCCCTAATTGTCCTAAGTCTTTCATGCACACAATTTATTCTTTATTCTAATACTCAGTGAGGGATCAATATTAATTAGATTTTATCAGATTGCAGCTAGATAAGATGAATGAAGTATTTTAAAAATCTGGCTGAAATAGATATTTAACAGCTTATTATTTCATCTTCTTGTCATTCTGCTTGCAGATGTTTCTGTACCTTGAAAAAGGTATAGTTTCTTTCAAAGAGATTTTTTAACACAATAGCAATAATGATGAGTTTTTATTTTTATGAAGTTTGTTTTTAATATTAGCTAAACCACACTTATCCTAACTTATTGAAAAGGCAATTATTAGCTACTGAAAAAAATAAGGAAAGTTGCAAAACTCTGAACCCTTAGGCAGCAACTAATTCAACAATTGAAAACAGTCATACAATACTCATAATAAACATTTATTTGAACATATCTATGGAGATTCTCAATCATCCAGGTCATGGTTGTCCCAATGGTGCTTCAGCACAACTGAAGAAGCTTCTTGGATGAGAAGCAAAATGTCTTCAAGCAAAAACAAAGAAAGTCCAGTTGCCTTTTGAAAAAGCAACTTTGGGACATTTATTTGAATAAAAATTAGTCATCATCCTCATAAAAATGCACAGATAGAAAGGGGTTGCTTAATACTACATGGTGAGATGTGAAGTGCTGAGACAGAACCAGAATAGGCAGGCATATTCTATGAACAGAACATATTTCTCTCTGACATCCTTTCTCCAAATCCCTAAATAAATAAATAAAACTTATTTTATTCACAGAAGTTCCTGTTTTGTTGCCACTTCCAGAGCTGACAAAATTTGTAACTATTAGCCTAGAAGCATGGACCTAAATCTCGAGATAACCAATTGCTGATGCAACAGCCAGCATTTGCAAGTCTAGCCATATGACCTGAAAGTTTGTAACGTTATTGCCAGCTTTGGCAATATCGCAAATTTCCACTATTATCTAGGAATTATCTAGGAAAAGCAGTCCAACACTCGATAAACCGTGAATTAGAAAGCTTAATCTGCCAATCAGAATTCAGCAAAAAGTGGTTTCTCTTGGCCTCCGCACCTACATTTGGCAGAAAAGTGTAATGATCTACCGGGCTAAGACGCTTACGTATTCTTAAACAATGTACAAATAGCAGTTGTAGAAGTCACTTCCTTCCCCGTTGAGATTCCCACCTGCGGGCGTACACCAACAGGGCCAAGCTGGCCAGCACCGCCAGTAAGTAAATGTTGGTGGCTTCGTTCCAAGCCTCGTGTACTGAATAGTCCATGGCGGCTACACCACCCACGCCACTTTCGCCCAGCGCCCGGGCACCGGCCATAGAGAATAGAAGAAATCGCCGACCGCCGACCCCAAACAGGAAACGAGACGTGACCTCAGATCCTTCAGACGCTTCCAGATCGAAAACAAAGGCTTAGCTTCCGGGTTGAGTTAACGCCGCTCATTGTGATGAAAACGAAAGCCGAGCGTTCTGGTGGTGTTACTGTGGGCTTTGCGCAATTGCGACCTAGTATTATCATTTTTTTTCTTATCCACCCGGATCGCCCCCCCCCGGCATCCCACAGAAGTCTTTTTTTAAAAAACAGGCATTGATTTTTCTCGTATCAACTGTTTCCTGCGGAAAAATGGGAGGCTTTGAATGTTCCAAATGGCAAAATGTCTGAATGGAATGCATAATTTCTGCACGCGGAAGCCAGATTTGGACTGGAAAAGGAAACCAGTAGCAAATTTGGGGATAAAATTTAAACTTCCCTTTTATCAAGAAGAATGGCCTATATCGGAGAACTTTTATCACGTGTATAGAAACTTTATTCGTCAGATTTACATACGTTTTGTTATTAAAAAGCTATATATATTGTTATTGGGGGGAACATGAATTGTAGAGGAGATAGTATAACTGCAGGCTAGGGAATTCTGGGAGTGGATCAGTGGTGGGATTCAGCCAGCTGGTACCAGTTCGGCAGAACTAATAGCTAATTTTTTTGTTGCCCAGGCCCAGAATGGATTTCTGGAAGTGGCATGCACACAGAGAACTGGTTGTTCATATATTTGAATCCCACAACTGGAGTCAAAGACTACACATCTTAAAATTGGGGGCCTAGACAGATAAAACTTTATTGGAGCCTTGGACCAGCAGCTTAAAATAACATTTATTGGTCACATATCATAGTAATGTAGTGCAAAATAAAAACATCTGTTAATGAAAAATAAAAAGAAAATGGAGAAACAGGATGTGAGTACATTAATTGAAGAAAAGGATGTTACAAATTTTACAATAAGTCAATTCCAATTAAGTCCAGTAGCTTCTGACAGCAATTCAAATTGTATTGCTATCAGACTCACTCAAAGATCCTAACAGGAACCAGAATTTCTCTCACCAAGGAGATTGGTTATGGTCATTAGGCAAAGACTGCATCTTTGTTAAGTGATGTCCTCACTTTTCCTCTACCTCAGTCGTCTCTGCTTCAACTCCCCCGACTTGCCTGTCCCCCTCCCCCATCACTGCCTTTTTTAATTGTCCTTCACCACCACCTAACCCTGTAAATCTTTCCAAATCCCTTCCTATCCTAGAATTCTAATTATGTATTTGAGAGTAATGAAAGATGGATACATGAAATGTGAAATGGTAAGTCTGATGCAACCCTGAATTATTTGTTTAACGTCAGGCTTTTTTTCAGGCCATCATAAACAGAACTGGGCAAGCAATAAACTAGGATAAAATTTGGTTTTGACTCTTGTTTCTTTTTTTGGTATCAGAATGTCATGTCCCAAAGGATTTTGCCCACAGTGGACATAATTGATGCGATATGACATTGTGATTACAGCGGTAACTTAAATTTGCAGAATGAACTGTCAACCATTGGTTAATAATCCTAATCTAATTTATCTAGTAAAAGAAAAACAAATAGTTGAACGAAGTAGATGTAATCAATTGGTACATGAAATTCATTGGTGAGCAAAACAATTTGGAGGACAAAAAAGGAACAAAAACCTTTATTTTTGCATGAAAAAGTGAATCTCATCCAAAAATGTGCTTGAGCCAATATTTTAGCTAATATAATATTAATATTTGTATGTCACCTCAGAATCAGAATCACAGTCTCTTAGGTGGCCATATAAATTATTTTTTAAAACAAATCCATTTACAACATAAATCAAAATTCTTTCATAGTTGCCATAAATCTCTAGATTTGCCAAACCTACAGCTGTATATGTAATCATTCAGACTTGATAAAAGTAGAAAGTCCTGTGAACTTAGTATTTGAATTTTATCAATAGTTTTTGGAAGGAAGGCATTTGACCATGTCTTCCTGCACTGTTTCTCAGTTGCTAAATTGTCTACCAACATCTACTGTTAACTAATTATTTAGTTACTAAATAAGTCCTTATTATGTAATTTAATATTTTCTCCTTTGAAGGTATGTAATAATAGTATTCTGAGACATATTCTACTCTTTGTTTAGTTATAATATTTTTTTGAATAGTTCCTTCCAGAAAGGTGTATCTTTTCTCACATATTCAACTTTTGTTTAGAAACTGATAAAAACACATCTGATTTTCAAAGTGTTTGCCAATTCATAAATCCTCTGGATCTGTGGATTTTTCCATTTTATATCCTTTTGCAAATTTCAAGAACTACTGAACAAGAAATCTAAACATTGGGCATCTATTACAGATAGTTCTGGAAGAGTTAATCATACAAAATGTATGTTACTTTTATCCTATTGAATATGTAGAAATGTATAATCCTTTTGAAAAATTCAAGCTGTTTATTGTTGATAACTATATGACTATTAATATTAATTTTACAAATAATATTTAAATGTATTTGCCTTGAATTATTATCAAATTGATAATACTTATGCTTTAATAATAAAAATTAGGTTGAACTTTTGCTAGTTTTTAAATGTCCAGCTTTCCCCTTTTCCTTTCTAATAGCTGATATATATTGCTGATCCTATTCTATTTTATTTAACCCATAAATTGTTAACTTCTGAAGGCAATGCATTCATCATCTATATACGTTTCTTTTTAATCTGTTCATTTGGCTTATACATCTACTTCTTATCATCTCCTTCCTGGCATTCCTTTCTGTTGTGAACCATGTACATCATTTTTATTAGTTATTCTTTCACTTGTTGAAAACAATTAAAATTTCAAAAATGAGTAAATGTGATATTTGTATCTAATTTCATAGAAACTCTTGTATGTATTTTTGTCCATTTCTAATTTATGGTTTGGCATTCTTTTGTTTACTGGGTGCAGAATCTAACTTTTGTCAGCAATTCCCCTCAACTTACTGTCATCTGCAAATTTGACAAGATCTTTTTCTGTCTCCTCATCTAGTTTGTTTATGAAGATACTGAAGAGCAATGGGCCCAAACCAGAATATTAAAATATCGCACTGCATGCTTCCCTCCACATAGATGTAGTTCCATTGAGGACCATGTGCTGAGTGCAGTTGGTTAGCCAACTGCAAATCCATCTAGTGCTGTACTGTCTATCCTACATTGTTCTACCTTATCAAGAAGTAGGCTGTTGTTTACTTTATCAAATGCTTTATGAAAGTCTAAGTATACTATATAGTATGCAGTATAAATATATACTATATTTCCTTGATCCACTAATTTACTGCTCTTCAGTATCTTCATAAACTAGATGAGATAGAAAAAGACCTTGCCAAATTTACAGATGACACCAAGTTGAGGGGAATTGCTGACAAAAGTTAGATCCTGCTCCTAGACAGGAAAAATAAAATGCACAGCTACTGAATAGGTGGTACCTGGCTCAACAGTATTAACTATGAGATGAATCTAAGTGTCCTAGTCAGATCACCACTTAAATATAAGTCACCAGTATGCTGTAGCTGTCAAAAAAGCCAATGCAATCCTAAATTGCATCAATGGAGGGATATCAGGATTGTGAGAAATCAT